AGCCCGCGCTTGACCCCTCAGCTGGTGTCCTCTGACGACGGCGACTCGGACAGTGTTGTGTTCATGGACTTGGCGCCGACCACGCCGGCCACACTCATCGCCACTCCCGAGCGCGTCGGCCGCCTCCAGGACGTGACGGAGCTGCTGGTGATGGACACGCTGCCCTCTACTTCGCGAAGAGCGTCGCCAGTACTGCAATGTCGCCTTCGGCCTCTGTGGTACAAGCTTCTGCTTCTTGGATGGCCGCCCCCAGTGCTGCGGTGTTGCCTCATCCGTCTCAGATTGGCTCGTTGAGTTCTTCGGATGCCACGCCCTCGGCTTCACAGATCTCTGAGCGCCAGCCCATCCATGTGTCGGTGCCAGTGCGTCTCAGTGTTGGCCGTCAGATATTGTCGACGACGCCGCTCAGCTCGCTTTCGTTTCAGATCCCACCCCGTTCGAGCCCTTCTGCTGCTGCTCCTCCTCGTCCTCCGAATGTGTATGATAGAATATAGTATCGGCTATCCGTGAATCGTCTACTCCAGCTTCGCCACGGGCTGCGCGACCATCTGCAGGCGCGCCCGAGCTTCTCCCGCCAGGCGCAGGTGCCGCTTGGGGCGGGGTAGGGTAGGTGTGGATTGGGGACTCCCTCCTTACGCTCGTCCCCTCCTTCTCCTCCTCCTCCTCCTCCTCCTTCTCCTCCTCCCCCTCCTCCTCCAACGCTCTCTGGCTCAGCGAGCCGCCCAGTTTCCGCGTGGGGGCGCCAGGGGCCATCGAGCCCGAAAAACTCAGTCGGCTCCTCCGTTCCTCGCAACGCATGGCCCTCCTGTGGGCCCCTCGGAAGCGCCGTCTGGTCCTCCAGGGAACTAAAGTCATTGGCCCTCAGGGCCCTCCTGGGGTTGCCAGAGAGGGCTGCTCAATGGTGGCCGCCTTTCGCGAGCAGTGGCACCCTGTCTTCAAGCATAAGGGCGTCGACGAAGCCAAGGTCAAGCAGTACATCGCCGAACGCGTGCCGCGGGGCCCCGCCGTCGACGTCGGCGCGCCGACGAAGTACCGGATCCGCGCCTTCCTGTCCGGCACATCGCCTTCAGCTCTTGGCCCCGACTGCCTGCCATGCCGCGCCTGGCTCGCGCGCGACTCCTCCTTGGACCTGCTGGGGGACTTCTCATTCCACCTCTGCTCCAACAAAGACTTCACCCGCGATCTCAATGACTCCGATTTCCTCCTCCCCCTCCCTCCTCCTCCTCCTCCTCCTCCTCCTCCTCCTCCTCCTCCTCCCCCTCCTCCCAAAAGAGGACGCGCGGCCGCCCTCCCTGCAGAATGCGGACTTCGAAACCATCGACCCGGCTCGCCAGACAGGTTAGCGGCCCCCTCCTCTTCCTCCTACCTCCTCCTCCTCCTCCTCCTCCCCCTCCTCCTCCTCCTCCTCTTCTTCCTCCTCCGCCTCCTCCTCTTCCGGGCAGTTTTGTTAAAAGGTCCGATGCCGATGCAGCTTGCTCTTACGACGGCGGGCCTGTCGTCGGCGCTGTTTAACGCATCGATTCTGCGTTGGACATCTGGTTCGGCAGAACCATCGCTGTGCCCGCCAATTTCTTCCTCAAGGCCGCTGTGGCAGAGCGGGCTCACCAAGCGCAGCAAGGGTTTGTCGTTGGCCAGAACTTCACCTATCACATCGTGCGCACTGATGCTGGGATGCGGCGAGCTGGAGTCAGGCCCGACGCCGAGTTGCACAAGCCCGTCTTCACCAGCTTCGACCTTGCTGCGGCGATTCCGTCGCTTGGGCGGATTTGGCCTTTCGCCTCGCTGGAGCGCTTCGGCGTCCCCGTTGGCCTTCCCAGCCTCTGCCGCAACCTCTACTTCGCGCCGAACAGCTTCGTCAATGTCGATTGCACTCGCCACTTCACGTTCGCGATCGAGTCTGGCGTGGCGCAAAGATGCCCTGCCAGCGGGTCGGCTTGGGCCATTGCGATGGGCCCGCTCGTCCGCCACATCGCCTTTTTTCGTCGAGCTCGCTGACGGCACGCCTGACTACGACGTGGAGTACTTGGGCTGCTGCGCTGGCGACATGGGCCTGCTCACGTTTTCGTTCAGCACGCTGCGTCGTGCCTCTGAGCCATTCGCCGTTGCTGATGAGCTTGCGCTCCTCTCTCTCTCTCTCTCTCTCTCAAGCCGCGCAATTACGTTGTCGTCCCGCTCTGGGCACCTCTCACCCCTGCCACCACAGCCCAAACGAAAGCGCTCCTGGCCGATCTTTGACCCGCCTGGGGTGGTTTTTCGGTGTCTGGGCGAGTCAAATACTTCGGGGCCCTCCTTGGACCTTCGGCCTCTCGTGCTTTGGCTTGCCCCGGGACAGAAGTGGTGGCGGCGTGGCAACTTCCCCAATTTAGTTCAGAGTGGCAGTTGCGCCACAGTGCGCTTTTCCAGCACTTTTGTCCTGTTCACGCTCAGTTACATCGCCTAGTTTTTTCCGCTGGACCTGAAGACTGTACGTCGGGAGTTTTATGTACTTCACAAAATATCCAGCCTGCCGCCTCACTCTCCTCGTCATGGCGGAATGGAGCCCGCCTCTTGTCGCACGTTCAGCTCAAGGCACTGCCGCCGCCTCTGTAATTCGATCGGCCTCCTTCACGCTGCGCGGAGAATGGGAACCTTTTTTTTCCACGGCCGTTTCCATGACGCTGCCTGGGAGGAGAGCGCGGTGCACTCCCGCCACAGGTGGGTCGCGGGTCACTGGTCCCCTCCTTTCTGGGAAGAGCCCGTGTCCATCGTGCAGTTATACCGCGGTTTGTCGCGGGGCCAGCGTGCCGCCCCGTTTCATGCTGCTGCCGTGGCCGCCGCGAACCGCCCCGCCTCTCAGGAAATTCGAGAGGCTTGTGCCGCCGAGCCGCCTCGCCGCCCGAAGGTGCAGCGAGCGGTCGCGCGTGCTCCCACGCGTGCCCCATTTTCTTCACCATTCGCCGTCGCTCTTCAGAAGCGCCTCGTATCGTGGAGCATCCAGCAACCGCCGGCGCCTCCAGAGCACACCAGGCGCTGGTCCGCTCTCACCAAAGCCCTCGGAGAGGTCCGCCCCAGATGGCGTTGGGCAGTCTTCAAAACTTTCAGCGGCGGGTGGACCACCACCCACCGCATGCACGTGCTCGCTCCGAAGCCATGCGTGCTCGGGTGCCCGAACGCACCCGATTCGTTTCCTCACTACCTCTCTCGCTCCGTCCTCTCGAGCCTCCTCTGGTCCCCCGACGCTCCCGTGCTCCTCAGCACACTTACGTCTTGGGGCCTGGGCCCCGCAGCTGCGTACCCCTCCGAGCCTGAACGCGAGCTCTCGTTGCGCCAGACGATTCGCAGGGTAGCGCTTGCATTCCATCTGTACAACAAAACGAAGCAGTTCGCAGCGCCGTCGCCAGTACACATTGCTGAAGCGTCGGCCGCAACCAAAGCACTGTTGTGGCGATGAGTTAGGTGCACAGCAGGGACGCGCGGAGAGACAGCAGTTGTCATCTTTTCGCGTCGTGCCTGTTTGCCCCCTTCTCGTCCCTTTTCAGGCTACTTTAACTCCTCCTCCTCCTCCTCCTCCTCATCCTTCTCGTCCTGCCTCCGTATTTGTTTTGTTGTCCTTTGTGTTCCTCCTCATGTGTTCTGACGTTGCGCGGACTTAATGCAGCAGCATGTCCTCCTCATGCTCCTCTTTCTCCTCCTCCTCCGCTTCCTCCCCCGGGATCCGTGTGATGTTTGTGTTTGTTGTAAGAGAACCGTAAGTCTTATTATATTTGGCCTCTGTGTTGTTCCTCCTCTTCCTTTTCCTCCTCCTCCTCCTCTCCCTCATGTTTTTCCTCCTCTGCTTGCCTCGTGTTTGGCGTCCAGGACGCCGTCCATGGATATCCAGCTGCCCCGGACCTCGGCCATATGCTTGTTTGTTCGCGCGCCTCGTCGTAGCGGGGGGACATGTCGCAGTGGAAGTTCTAGTGCCTTTTCTCTTCCCATATATTCCTCGTCCTTTCCGCATCCCTGTTCCTCCTCCTCTCCTCGCCTTCTTCCTCCCCGCCTTTCTTGCCCCTGCATCCTTCCCCCTGGGAGGGGGAGGGGCGGGGGCGAGACGCGAGCGAGGAGGAGCGACCCCAGCAGTCATAGCATGCTGACGCGGGCACAGAGGGAGCGAACGAGCGTTGCGGGCAGGAGTCCAGCACCAGTGGTAGGTTGAGCATGTGCCGCAGCTGCACTGCCGTGGCAGTGTCCGCCCCCGCGCTCCCCCACGAAAGACAGAATCGGGAGCGGCGGTGGGGGGGGAAGGAAGACGAGCATGAGAAGGACGAAACGGAGTAGAGATGGCCGGCGAGGGATGCCGTGAGATTCTGCGATGGGTATGGTACGTGAAGGGCGATGAAGAAAAATGTGAGGAGGAGGAGGAGGAGAAACAGGACGAGGAGGAGGAGGAGGAGGAGGAGGAGGAGGAGAGGACGCGAACAACCGCCGCAAATCAGCCATCATCGAATCTCTCGCGGGTCCCGTCCCGCACGTACGTACAAACCCTCTCCAAGGTAAGGCCCTCGAAACGCCCTGCTGGGACGCGCTTCTGCGACCACCGAATCCTACATTTCTCAAGCGCATCCTGAGACGATCTGCGCCCTCGCACGTCGCAGTGCGTTTGCCGCGGCGATCCTGGCGCGGGCGGTCAGGGTGGACTGCCGCCGCTTGCCCAGAATATGTCGATATCGACCGATCTGCGATGTCGGAAGGCCGCAATCGTTGAAGTCTGAACGACTCACACGGTGTCAGAAACCGGCGCCGCCGCCACCGCGTCGTGACCCGCCGTACCCCGCGTGGGGTTCCCCATGATTGCTGAAACTGCCTGGGTGGCAGTGTCTGCTCGTGGCCCGTGGCCCCCTCGTGGGCCTCCTCGAGCGGAGCTGGTGTTCTGCTCTCAGTGCCGGGCGCCCGCATCCGTGTCCCCCTCGGTTTCCTGTTTTGGCGGGGCAGCGTTCAATGCTGGACTCGGCCGCCCGCATCCTGTGATCCTCCTCTTGCGGGCGGCGGGGCAGCGCTCAGTGTCTTCAGGCAGCACGAGCCGCAGGGCTCCTGGTCGCTGGTTGAAGAGGGGTGGCGTTCAAGAGATCTCTGAGGGTCCGTGCGTAGCAATTTTGGCTCAAGCCGTTGGCCTTTTGGTCTAATTCTAGCAGCGTCGCAGCATATCGCGTCACGGCCGGTTCCCCCATCTTCTGCACTCACGGGGACTTCTGACACCCTGACACCTTAGTATAATATGGTTGCAGACGTCAAGATCGAGAAAGCGCTGAACCCAGATCAGCAACATTTCATTGACACAGAGAGCGAGTTCGGTGCCCACAACTACCACCCGCTTCCGGTCGTGCTTGAGAAGGGTGAGCGATGCTACATGTGGGACACGGGCGGGAAGAAGTATTTTGATTTTCTCGCGGCCTACTCGGCCGTGAACCAGGGTCATTGCCACCCAAAGATCGTGAAAGCGATGATGGACCAGTGCCAGAAGCTCACGTTGACATCACGAGCCTTCCACAACGACGTGTTTGCAGGCTACTGCAAGTTCGTTACCGAGTTCTTCGGCTACGAGAAGGTTCTTCCGATGAACACTGGAGTAGAGGGAACAGAAACTGCTATCAAATTGATGAGGAGGTGGGGATACATGAAACGCGGCGTCGCGCCCAACAGGGCGCAAATCGTTTTCGCAAACGATAATTTCTGGGGGCGAAGTATCGCGGCCGTGAGCACCTCTACCGATCCAGACTGCTACGAAGGGTTCGGTCCTTACGCCCCTGGTTTCATCATGGTCCCTTTCAACGACGTCCACGCGCTGGAAAAGGCCTTCGCCGAGGACCCGAACATCGTCGGCGTCTGCTACGAGCCGATCCAGGGGGAGGCTGGCATCAAGGTGCCAGATCCGGACTTCTTCAGGCAGGTCAAGGCGCTCTGCGAGAAGCACAATGCACTCTTGTGCTGCGATGAAATCCAGACTGGACTGTGCAGGACCGGAAAGATGCTCTGCAGCGAGCACTACGGCATCCGTCCCGACATTGTCGTGCTCGGCAAGGCGCTGTCTGGCGGCCTGTACCCGGTCTCGGCGGTCCTCACCGACAAGCACGTCATGGATACGATCACGCCTGGTACGCACGGGTCCACGTACGGAGGCAACCCTTTGGCCTGCAGGGTGGCAATCGCAGCGTTGGAAGTGTTGAAAGAGGAAAACATGGCCGATAACGCGCAGAAGTTGGGAGAGATCTTCCGCGCTGAGCTGGGCACCATGCAAGGCAAGTACCCCTGGATCAAAGATATCCGAGGCAAGGGCCTGCTGAACGCGATCGAGTGCGACCCTGCGTTCTCAGAAAAGGTCACAGCCTGGCAGGTCTGCATCAGGATGGCGGAGAACGGTCTCCTCGCCAAGCCGACTCACGATAACATCATTCGATTCGCGCCGCCTTTATGCATCAACGAAGAGGAATTGCGCGCGGCTCTCAAGATAATCATGGACACTTTCGCCGAGTTCGCCTAGGACATTTGATGATTTTGACGGCGGCTGCAATGCAAAATAGAGGAGCCGTGGCGAGAGTTGAGCAGCAGACTTGAATTTTCGCAATACTAGTTCCATCCTGTGGTTGCGTGCAGACCACGTTTGGTTTGTTGTTTCTTTCGTCGTTCCGAACCGTCCTCGGCTTCTCGGTGCTGGTTCTTTAAAGCGCCCTTGACGATCATCTGTTTTCTATCATGGCCTGGGCTTTCAACACCAGAAGCTAAACACATGGGACCATTTATGGACACATCCTACTGCGGATGCTTTATGAGCATTCGCCCCATGCCGATGGAAAACAGAGATCTCGCAGGGTGGTCGTGCTCCTATGACTGCTCGTGGCAGTGGCGCGCGTGCACTGGTCGAGTGCGGGGCGGCGTGCAGAAGTAGGTTCGGTGGCGTTCTCTTTTGAGGCCCCCGCTTGTGGGATACGGTAGGTTCGCGCCGCATTGCCGCGGCGGTTGACCCCAGTGCGGGCGTGTAAAGCTGAACGCCGCCAGTGGCCCAGAATTGGCCCAGTGAACGTTCTGCCCCATCGGAAGGCCGTGATCGTTCAAGGTTGAACGATCCACGGGGTGTCAGAAACCAACGCCCGCGACATCGCGACTCAAGCCTGCCGTACAGTCGGGGTGATTGGCAGGTCGACCCTGCAAAAACAAGGGTGCTCTTGTGTCCTGTTCATCCTTTCTCATGTTCTCTGCGTGTTCGGACTAAGGGTACCCCTGTGTCCTGTCATTTTAGCAGACGTTGGGGTCATATCGGCGGCGTGCCGGGCGCGTCGCGCCATGGGGAGGTCGCGCCTCTGGGCAGCGTGTCCTCTCGTATGCGCCCCGACTGTACGTGGATTCGCTGGCCTGTGGCCCTACGCGTGTGAGATGGCCTTTCGAATGAGGCTCGGTGCCCCTCAGGCGCTCGCGGTGCCGGCCCTCGCGTGTGGGGTGGCGTTTGGAGGTGGCTTCGGTGGCCCGTGGGGATCGTGGTCCGTAGGCTCGGCGGACCCTCGTGGCCCTCGCGTGTGGGCGCGGCACTCAGCAGCAGAGTCGGTTGCTATCCCAACGGCGAGTCGATTATGCATCGAAGACGCCTACGGTGAATCACCGCCGCCCCCTGCCTTTCCAGAAATGCCGACGTGGCCACCAAACGTCGGGCCAAAGTTTGGCCAAGCTAGTTATTGGGCACGTTCCAGCTGCTGTGGAAACCCGTGGGGGAAACATGTAGGGAAGGAAGACGATGGAGGAGGAAGACGAAGGAGGAGGAGGCGGAGGAGGAGGAGGAGGAACAGGAGGGCTCTTGAGGCCCTCTTGGGAGCTCCCGGTGGCTTCCTGGGAGTTTCTTGGTAGCCTCTGCGAGGGCCTCCTCGGAGCCTCCTGGGGGCCACTTGGGGGCCTGGCCTTCGGAGGCCATTCTGGGGGGCCTCTCTGAGCCGAAGTGTCCCCTTTGGGCGCTTTCGCGCCGTCTCGGAGGTACACTGGGACCCGTGCCAAGAAACACCCTGCTTGCCTCCAGGGTGCCCCGGGTTTCTTGGGTTTCGATTGTTTCGCTATGGAAAGCGCGACGTTCCACGCCAAAAATCAATGAACGTCCTGGGGTCTCAGGGTTGGGTTTCCTGTGGGAAGTTTCTTGTGGACTGGCCTCCACTGTATCTGGGGCCGTCGTGGAGGCTTCTGGCGCCGCCTCGAGGCTACATAAGGAGGCATGTGGGGCTCCCTTCGGATGTCGGAAGCCCGAGGGAGATTCTCGTGGAGCCTCCTGGGGCGTCGTGTGGACCTCTTGGGCCACCTGGAAGGCATCTTTGGCAGTCTTGGAGTCATGTTTGGCGGTCTTGGTGGCATCTTGGTCCCTCTTGGGGCCATCTTGGCCGTGCTGAAGGCGTCTTGGATTCTTTTTGGAGGCCATCTTAGGCCAACTTGGCCGTCCTGGAGGCCCTCTTGGAACCATCTTGGACGGGAAAGGCGATGGGGGACAGGGGGGCATCATTTAACGGTTCAAGCAGCTACCATCTAGCAGCCCACAACCTTTCTTGCAAGCAGCAAGGGGAAGCAGATCGAAGACGCCTACTGCGAATCACCGCCGCCGCTTGCCTTTTAGAAGCGCATCTGTGGCCGAACGTTGTGGCCAGAGCTCGGCCACGCTATCGGATTGCGTGATCCCCCAAGCCTTTGTGGGAACCCTTCAGGGAACACATGGAGGAGGGAGAAGAAGAGGACGAGAGGAAGGAAAAAGGAGGAGGAGGAAGAGGAGGAGGAGGAGGAGGAGGAGGAAGAAGAGGCCTCTCGGGAGCTTTTGGGGCACTCTCGGGGCATCCTGGGCGCCTCCTGGGGGCATCTTGGAGGCCTCTTGGAGGCCTCCTTGGGCCTCCTGGGGGCGGGCGTTGTATCATTTCCGCTCGTCTTGGGCGTTCCTGGCCTGTCTGACGCCGTCGGAAACCGTCTTGGGGGCCTCTTTGGGACGATTTGGGGCCGTCTTGGGGCGCTTCAGGGCCGTGGAGGCCATCTTGGGACTGTCTCTGGGGCCTCTTGGGCCGTCAGAGGGCCATCTTGGAGGCCTCTTGGGCGCTCTTGGGGCCACCGTGGTGGCCTCTTGGGCCGTCCTCGGCCGTCGGCAAGCCGACAAGGAACACATGCCCAAATCATTAAAACATCCAAGCATTATAAATGATTTGGGCCTCTTCTGGCTTTTCTGGAGGACCTCTTGGGTGCCTCTTGGGCCGTCCTGGAACCCTCTTGGGGTCATCTTGGGCAGTCTTGGGGCATCTTTGGGCTATCTTGGGCCGTTTTGGTTGCATCTCGGCCCGACTTGGAGACATCTTGGGTTTTGACCGTCTTGCAGGCATCTTGGAGGCCATCTTGGCCGTCTTGGAGACGAGTTTCCCAGTTTGTCCTCAGCCTTCCTGGTGGCCAGCGAGATGGGCCGAGAACACATTGGAAATCTGGGAAAGGACTAGAATATTAGAAGTTTTGGCAGTTCAGTGCGGTTGCTTAGAACGTATGGTTTAAAGGGTGAGAGGTCAGAGAAAGAGGGGGGGGCTCGCTCAAGCCCTTTTGGCTCCCTATTCGGGGTGTGCCACAGCCATGTCGGCCGCCGCCATGCTCGCCGCCCCAGCGCTCGCCGCCGCCCTGCGCTGGGGCGCGGGCGCGGCCGCTGCTGTTGGGCCGGTTGCGCTGCTGGGCCCCCGCACTGCAGCAGGCGCCGCACCGGCGCCGGCGCCCCCCCGCGCCGGCGGCGCGCCCCATGGACGCCGTCTCGCTTTTCGCCTGGGCCGACGCGGCCCCGAAGGAGCGGGATTACACGTATGATGATGTTGATCTTTTTGCCGCTGCGGGCTTCCTAGGCCTCTTCGGGAGGCCCGCCGAGCTCGACGACGCGGCTGTTCTGGTCGCAGCACCAGATGGCCTTGCAGGCCCATCGGTGACGACTGAACTCGTTCGGGGAGTCGAGCTGGCGATGGCCACCAGCAAGGGCGCGGAGCTGGTGCCTGAGGCGGCGGCACCGCAGCCCGCGGCACCAGGAGCGCCAGAGGCAGCCCAAGAGTACATCTTGCATTACGATTGCTACTACGCGGCGGAGCAGGCCACCTCACCGAGGACCTCGGCCCAGCTCGACAGTCGCAGCTCGGCCGACGTCATCGTCGAGGACGACGAGGATGAAGGCGGCGACGATGACGGGGAGGAGGTCGACTTGGAGGAGATGGAAGCGCCACCCGCCCCAGGCCCACGCGCCGCGGCCCCTTCCCGACTCGCAGCCGCTGCCAGCTGGCTGCCCGCCTGGAGGACGGCGGCCCCGCCCCCCGCGCCTGCCGCCGCTGGCCCTGCTGCCGCCTGGTGCCGGCCTGCCGCGCTGCGGGATCGCCTGGGCCGCGATGCCGCCGCGGCCAACCGGCAGCGGGCTTCCTCGGGTTGGAGCATCGCTTTCGGAGAGTACGCGCCGATCGTCTGGACCTCCGTGCCAGTTACCCTGGGATGCCTGTGCATCGGGGCCTGAGAGACGGAGGTCAATGCAAACGGGGGTCAACCAAGGCGCCGGGTCTTGCAGGATCCTGCAGGGCCAGGGCTGCATTGACCCGGCCAGTCCCACAAAGCGGTGACAGGAGCACTCCCTTCCCCTCCAGTGGCGCCCCAAAACTTTTTGGAATTGGCGCCGCGGGGGGCCCAAAGTGGCCCTGGGGGAAGGGGGGAAGTCTGTCTTTCGCTCCCAGGACCTGCCGAAGCCTTTTGGTGGGTCCCGCTGTTTTCGCTCGGGAGGTTAGCCGACGTGCTGACGCCCACCCGTGCGCGGCAGTGCCGCGCCGGGAGGCCGCGGGGGGAGTCATTATAGCAGGTCCGCTTAACGACATCAGCCATGGCCAGACGTACATCGTCCGCCGGGATCTCACAGCATCCCTAGAACAAGACGTACAATCATCATGGGCAAAAACACCATGGACCAGTTGACTTGAAGAAGAAAGAAGATGTTGCTTGATATGACGACCGACAGGCACAACACTCCCTTCGTCCTCGGCGATCCTCTTCTTGTTGCGCCCAGGAACTTCGAGCGGGCGCTGGAGGGCCGCGGCGTGGGGACCCCGCGCGAGGCCCTCCGTCCCCCCTGCCCGTGGGCTGCCTGGGAGGCCACTTGGGCCGCGCCGGCACGCGATAACGATAGGGGGGGGGGCGGAGGGGGAGGAGGAGGAGGAGGAGGAGAAGGAGGAGAAGGAGGAGAAGGAGGAGGAGGAGGAGGAGGGAAATCGCCATGGGGAACACGGGTCCTGAGGGAAACGGGCCTTGAGGTTTTTGTAGTTTTCGGGCTCTCGGAGCCCTCCACGGGCCCTGGGGCTGTCAGAGAACGACTCAGGATGAAGATCTCGTCGTTGGGGAAGGCCCCAGGGTCCAGGACCCGCTTCCCCCATGTTAAGAGGTGGAGGAGGAGGAGGAGGAGGAGGAGGAGGAGGAGGAGGAAGAGGAGGAGGAGGACGACGACGACGAGGATAAGCAGGAGGGTTTGGAGCAGGAGCAGGACATGGAGGAAGAGCTGGGGGAGGAGGGGAAGGAGGAGCACGATGACGAGGGGGGGGACTACTCCTCATCCTCGAGGATGAGGATGAGAAGGAGGATGAGGATGATGAGGATGAGGATGAGGATGAGGAGGGGGAGGAGGAGGAGAGCAAAAGAAGGAGGAGGAGGAGGGGGAGGAGGGGACACGAGCTTCTCCTGGAGGAACTCCCGAACCAGGCATCGTGTCCACAGGAAGGGTCCTCCATGCGTATTGCCGGACTCAGAGCTTCGGAGTGTTTTGCATCTGTTCTAACCACGGGGTGCCAGCGTCGGCATCGTGGACAAATACCGCCTGCCGAGGTCCCCGAAGATCGATCCCGCAGCCAGTGGTTATGGATTAACTCCCGCTTGGCATTCGAAGCCTCGGGGCCGTCAACAGACGACTCAGGGTGAACGGCCGATTCTGGGGAATGGGTCAATTACAGTGGAGGCCCATGCCAAGAAAGAACCTGCTTGCCTCCAGGGTGCCCTGGGTTTCTTGGGTTTCGATGGTTTTGCGATGGAAAGCGTGACGTTCCCGCACCGAAGATCGATGGACGTCCTGGGGTCTCAGGGGTGGGTTTCTCGTGGAAGGTTTCTCGTGGATCGGCCCACTACTGTACTCTGGGGGTCCACGCCGCGTGAAAAGAGGTCCCGACGTCGGAGTTCCGGGTGCCTCCTCGTCCCCCCCTTCGTCCTCGTTGTTGTCCTTGTCGTCGTCGTCGTCGTCGTTGAGCCCGAGCGCTCATCCAGCCGCAACTGTGAGCATGGCCAACGCAGCAGGGGCACTTGTCGTTGTCGTCGTCCTCCTCCTCCTTCTCTTCCTCGTCGTCGTCCTTGTCCGAGGCTTTGTTCTCCGCTGCCCTTGTGGCTCAGGGTGTCGCGGTGATTGTCCACGGCGACCGTCGCAATTGCGTTCAAGCCATGGCGGAGCTCGCTGGCTTCAACGTGAACCATGGTTTCACCGAGGCAGTCGTGCGAGGCCTGCGCACGGGCTTCCTCGAGCCCGAGGACTACAGGCGCCTGGCTACCTCGGACTCCCTGGAGGACTTGCGGAGCGCCCTAGAGGAGACCGACTATGGGAACTTCCTCCAGGACGAGCCCTCGCCTCTCCTCGTGTCGACGATCTCCAAGAAGTGCTACGAGAAGCTCGCAGATGAGTTCAGGTATGTCAAGGCTCAGACAGTCGAACCGCTCACAACGTTCCTGGACTTCATTGCGAGGGAGAAAATGATCGACAACATCGTCGTGCTCATTCAAGGCGCTCTGAACAACAAGGCCCCGAAGGACCTTGAGGACAAGATCCACCCGATCGGCGCGTTCGACAAGGCCGCCATGAACATGATCATGTCGGACTCATTCGACCCCCAGGGCGGCTTCGACGACATCTACCGGATCTTCTTGCAGGATACCCCTATCGGGCCGTATTTCGAGGAGTTCCTGGCAGACAAGAACCCAGACAAGGAAGACCCGCAGAAAGGCCTCGACAAGCGCGGTATCCTCAGCAAGCAGGACTTGGAGATCATGAAAGGGCTCTTGAAGAAGGCGTGGCTCGAGGACTTTCACAAGTTCGTCCTGAGCCTGGGCGGCACCACGTCGGAGGTCATGGGCGACATCCTGAAGACGGAGGCGGACTTCCGCGTGCTGCTCGTGACGCTCAATGCGCTGAACACGCACCTCAGCACCGGCTCGGAGGGCGCGCTCAAGGAACGGAACGATCTGTGGCCCTCATTCGGCTACCTGTACCCCGAGGGCCAGAAGGCATTGGGAGTGGCGTTCAACGAGAGCACGGTCCGGGATTCCCTGAGCCACCCCGCCAAGTACTTGCAGCTCTTCGACCAGGTGAAGTCTTACTACGGCGCCGAGGCAGAGCAAGCCGCGAAGGGGAACCAGTCGATGGAGGATCTGATCTACGCCGAGAACGTGAAAATGTACGAGATGGCATTCGAGCAGCAGTACCATTTTGGCATCTTCTACGCCTGGGTGAAGCTCCGGGAGCAGGAGATACGCAACATCCGCTGGATCGCGAACATGATCATCCTGCAAACGAAGGATCACATCGACGACACAATCGTTCCCATCTTCCAGCCCCGCCTGTGAGGGACGCGCCCGCTGCTGCAGACCAGTGCGGGCGCACCGCAGTCTGCGAAGAATACAGTAGCTATAGGGAGTGTCTGCGGTCTTATACGCGCGACAGGCCGGATAGGTGTCGGAGTACGCTCCGTTTCGGGATGAAGCCAGCAGCGGCGCACCGCGACTGCTCGTGGTGATGCTGGCCCTCGTCTCATCGAGCGACGTCCAGGCGAGTGGTCTCAGGCCTCACGCCTCTTTGCAAGCAGCTCGAAGTCCTTGTCGTCGCCCTTCTCCTCCTCCCTCCGCTGCGTCCGCTTCCTGCTCCCTGCGGCCTCTGCTATTTCTGTTGTGGTCGCGCCTGCTCTTCGAAATCTTGGCTTAGTGTGACCCCCATATTTCAGGAGGGAAAAAAACACACAGACACAATTAATCGTCGATTTCCAAGAAAATATAGGAAAATATGGGAAGTGGTGGGGAAGACAAAAACCCAGAAAATATAGGAAAATATGGGGAATCTTTTTATTTGTGTGTATTTCTTTGTGTGTGTCCCAGTTTCCCTTCAATATTATAGGCCACGGGTTGTCACCGTCTCGCCAGGCGGATTTTGGAAACAGAGCTGCCCACAGCCGGCAGGGCAGCGAGGGCGGGGCGGCCGGCCTCTCGTCCTCCTCTTCCCTCCTCCTCCTCCTCCTCCTCCTCCTCCTCCTCCTCCTCCCTCCTCCTCCTCCTCCTCCTCCTCCTCCTCCTCCTCCTCCTCCTCCATCTTGCCTCTCCTGCGCCTCCTCTGCTCCCCCCTGGGCAGCACCCATCGCCGGCCGGCCGCCGCAGGGCAGCCCTGCCCTGATGATCATGCAGTGCTCGTGGATGGTTCGGTCCTCGTCGCCCGGCGAACGTCAGCCACGCACAGAGGGGGGTGAGGGGAGGGGTGAGGGCTTCTTCGAAGCACCCCTGCTCCTTAGGCGCGGGCCTGACCTGTAGATCCAGGGCCGCCGCCTTCTGAAGAAGCAGCCTCCTTCTAAGAAGTCCTCCCCCCTCCCTCCACCCCCTGTGTGCGCGCCGCCAAGAATTTGATGAGCACTGTTTTCCTGGACGTCCGACGGACTGAGGGTGCTTTTTTAGTGTGCGGCCCCAGAGGTCCCGACCTCTCTCCCCGCGGGTGGCTCCTCGTCCCGGATCCACTGCTGATGGCCTCGGAGGCCGAAATCGAGGAAACTCGCCGGGACTGAAAGAAAAGTCCATAGGGAGGAGGGGGGAGTAGGAGGAGGAGGAGGAGGAGGAGGAGGAGGAGGAGGAGGAGGAGGAGGAGGAGGAGAAACAGAAAAGGAGCAGGAGGAGGAGCAGGGGGAGGAGGAGGAGGAGGAGGAGGAGGAGGCGGAGGAGAGGAAGGAGGCTGAGGAAGGAGGCTGAGGGACTTAGATACCTCGCCCACGGGGGGACCTGCCTGTGCCAACGTCACCCCCCCCCGGGGCGACCGCCCCTGGGAAGGGGGTGGCTTTCAAAGCGAACTCCGAGGCCGACACCGACAGCGACAGAGAGAGGAGAAGGATCCATTCCCACCCTGAGAGGGTGATTCAGCAGCTGGCGCCCGCACACCTGCCGTCGGCGCCACCTGCAGCAGCGGCCGCACCCGCATCGAGCGACAGCGATTCTCGTTCAGCATGCGGCCGTCGACCTCTCCGCAACCCGCGGAGACCTCGCGCGCCCTCCGAGCCTCTGCGGCCCCGCTGTCGCCGGCCCTCCACGGCGCCGCCCGCCTCGGACACAGCAGCCCGCGAGGGTGAGCAGACCGTTCGCTAGCTTGCTCCCAGATGTCCGCTTGCCAGCTGCCCAGGACCCAGACGATCTGATGCCTGCTCAGCCCGGGCGTTTTTTCCCCGATTCTGGCCTCTTGGGCTCGTTCTGGGGCCCTGGGGCCAACAAAAACGTGGATCCGGTCGGAACACTACCCACGTACGGGGGGTGGGTCGGGACCGAAGAACCCACATCGTCGGATGTCTGGGAACGGGTCATGAGGGACCGCATGCGTGCTGGACGAAGGTTGCTCATTGTTTATGTCCTGCTAATGGGAGGTACACTTCGCCCCAGAAAACAAGCTTTCTTTTGAGCGGGTGCGAGTCTGCACGTTTTGGTGGCCGTTCTTTGGCCTTCGTCCAGTACACTTCTCTGATGGGGATTCGCAAGTCTCCCCCTTTCAATCGTGGAGTCTAGTGCTGGGGCAACGCGTCGTGGAAGTCGCCTCTGCTCGCTTCAACCGCCGCCGCCGCGGCGCGCAGCAACCGCCGTGGCTTTCGCCGCTCAACGTCGTCGTTGTCGTCGACGTCGTCGTCGTCGTCGTCGCTCTTCCTGCTGCTTCTAGCAAACACTCCTGGTGCTCGCAACCGTCGCCGCCGCCGCCCTGCGTTGGGTCGGCACGGACCGCCGCGGCCCGCCTCGCTTGGCAGGCCGACCCTGGCGAGGGGGGCTACCGCGCCTGGGCGCTCAGCGAGCTGCCGGTTCACGAGAGGAACGGGTACGAGGCATCTCCCGCTGGGGGAGGGGCGGGGCGGAGGAGGAATAATAGGAGGGAAAGAGGAGGAGGGGGGAGGGGGAGGAGGAGGTGTAGGAAGAGGAGGGGGGGGGGAAATAGAGGCGATTCGGGGAACGAGGAGGAAGAGGCGGAGGAGGAGGGGGAGGATGAGGATGCTGCTGATGCTGCTGATAATGCTGATGATAATGATGGTGATGCTGATAATGAAGATGATGATGATGAGGATGATGATGCTGATGCTGATGGTGATGGTGATGGTGATGATGATGGTGATGACGATGATGATGATGATGATGATGATGATGATGATGATGATGATGATGATGATGGTGATGACGATGATGATGATGATGATGATGATGCTGATGGTGATGGTGATGATGGTGATGATGATGATGACGACGATGAGGATGAGGATGAGGATGAGGATGAGGATGATGCTGATGCTGATGATGACGATGATGATGATGATGATGATGCTGATTATGATGATGATGGTGGTGGTGATGATGGTGATGATGGTGATAATGCTGCTGCTGATGATGATGTCGATGAGGACGATAGGGGAATTTGAGTGTGCCCGCATCCAATGGGTTGCGTCCATGTCTCTCTATTCCCTCCTCCCCTCTGATCCTCTGTTCACCCTCGGCCTCCGTGGAGGCTCGCTCGCCTTTATTGTTTCATTCTATCATGCCTATCGCACTGCTGCTCGCCAGCCGTCCCTGCCTCTATCGGCCATCGAAGCGGCAGGGATCATCGACGCTGTCCGTCTGGCCACACGCTTGCCTGCCAGAGGCAGGCAGAGGCGCTTCCTCTCCCGCGCCCATCTCGACAGTGTCACGATGGAGGCGCGGGGAGTGGGCGGGTAGGTTGGAAGCTTGGGATTCGCTTCGGCCACGCTCCACCTCCTCCTTCTCCTCCTCCTCCCCCTCCCCCTCCTGCTTTTCCTCCTCCCCCTCCCCCTCCTCTTCCTCCTTCCTCATTGGGCTTCCCCCAGCCGCGTATCATATCCTCGTGCCAGAATTCGCATGTTCTTTTTTATGATTAAAATACGGTGCATACGTATGGTCGGGTACGATTGAGCTCCATAGTGCGTTTCCGCCGTATCCTGGATGACGAATTATCGGGGATTAGAGTCCATGACGCAGCAAAATCGGGAACATATAGAGATATTATCGGAAATGGACACTTTGAGTGCGTTGTAGCACCACGGGCGCCCTTAAAATAGCCAGTGCGTTTGGGGCTTCCTGGAGCAGATTCTGCGCTCTGGGTGGCGGCGGCGCCCGCGACCGCAGCCGGCGACGCGCCGCTTTCCTCCGCTGCTTCCTCCGCCACGACCCGTCATCCTTGTGCTCGCAATTGCAGGAAACAGCACCATCACGGCGCCCCTAGATTGGCCATGCACTGTCCACCCCGGCGGCGCGTGGTCCCCGTCAGCCCTCGGCCACAGTTTTGACACATGTAGCTGCGCCGATTAGGTGCCCCTAGACTGGCCCTGCGCTGTCCACCGCGGCAGCGCTTGGCCTCTGCGGCCGCAGCCAGGGCCACCCGCCGGAACCTGCAGTGCTGGTGCTGGGCCGCTGGGTCGCCCTGCTTGCGGGGCCCCCCGCAGCCGGGGCGTTCCCCCTCCTCCTCCTCCTCCCCTGGCCTCCCCCCCCCTCCCTCTCGCGCCCCCGGCGCTTGCGAGGCTGCCGCCGCTGGCAGCCTCCCCGCGCGTTCGGGATCCCGGGCCTGGTCTTGTCGCCTGTTCCCTTACGCTGGCTCAGCATTTAGCCGGATGCAGTCCAACCTGGGCGCATACGTACTTGCTGGTCCGCCCTTGAGTGGCCAGTCGTTTCTCGCCCCCCATCTGCGGCCGCCCGCCCTGTCCTGTTTTCCGTTTGCGCATGCCGGCCAATTCGTTACAACGGCGCCCCCGTTTAGCCTGTTCGTTGGAGCTGTGCCGCAGCCTAGCCGCCGACGGACAAAGTGCGCGCGTGTGTGTGTGTGTGCGTGTGTGTGTGTGTGCTTGTGTGTGTGCGTGCGTGTGTGTGAGTGTGTGCATGTGCGTGTGCGTGTGCGTGTGCGTGTGCGTGTGCGTGTGCGTGTGCGTGTGCGTGTGCGTGTGCGTGTGCGTGTGAGCGAGCGAGCGAGCGTGCGTGCGTGCGTGCGTGCGTGCGTGCGTCCGCGTGTGCGTCCAGCAGCTGCGATGGCGGTGCGCTCGGTCCCCCTGCTCTTCCGCTGGGGGGTGCTTCCACCAGCCTTGATGCCGCACCCAGTGCCCACCCTCTCGGCGGTGGCCCCCGCACCCGCCCCCCCGACTCCCTCTCGCTCGCCTCGCCTCTGCCCGGCCTGCCCTCGCCTCCAATTATGGTGGCGGCGCGAGCGACGCTCAACCGCAAGCTACCTGGCGAGCCCTATCTCCTTGCAGCGCCAGGGGAATAGCCTGTCGAACCGCCTCACTAGATGTGAACGATTAGTGTGGAACATCTCCCATCCCAAAGGAGGGCCCGTGATCCCCGGTACCACACTCCCTTCGCCCGCACCTTACTTGCAGGAATTCTTCGATTCTCTTGCCTCCTCGACTATGGTCGGGGGCCCCCCTGCTGCGCAGGCCCCGTCCCCCCGCGCTCCCTCCAGCGAGGGCGACCCCCCAGCCAGGAAGTGGCCTGCCTCGCGGTAGGTTCCCCAACACCACTCCGGGAAGCGGCGGTGATCCTGCCATTGGTTCTTTCGGGCGTGCCAGCGGTCTCACTTCTGCGGCTGAACTCGCAGGCTGCCTCCTCCTGGACAACTGCGCGATCGAGTCCGCCGGCGTGCCTCTGGCGACGCGTGTCCTCGCACGCATCCGCGCCCTCCCTGGCACCCCCATCGACGTCCCTGCGATCTGCCCTGGCTTGGGGTTCCGCCCTTCCTGCTCCCCTGGGGTGGCAGTCTCTCGGCCCCGTTCCCGCCCTCCTGGGCTGCCCTCTGCTGGCCCCGCCGGGCCAGCCCCCCCGGAGGCCTCCTGCGGCCCCTGTCCTGCCTGGACGGGCCCTCCCCCCCGCATGTGGTGTGCGAGCGCTCACCTCCCTCTTGCGAGGTGCGAGTGCGCTCCGCCTCCCCTGGTTCGGGACCGTCTCTCGTTTCGTGTTGGCCAGTCTGCCGCGCTGTGAATATCCATGCGCGCTCGTGCTCCTCCTCCGGGCCCCGCTCGGCCAGCGCCGCCCACTGCCTTTTCTCCCTTCTGCCCCCCTCTCCCCCTACCCTCCTGCCACCGCCTTTCGCCTTCCCGTCTCGCAGCCCCCTGGCCTGGCATCTGCCACCCCAGGTCCCTCCTCGCGGAGGGCTGCCCAGTTTGGGCTGCCTTCTCGGCCGCCGCAGTTTCCAGCGCGCTGCCCGGCCTGCTGGCTGCCGCGGCCATGCTGCCTGCGACCTTTGCGGTTCGTCGCCGCCTGCTGTCAGGTATGCCACGGCCTCCTTGCCTCTCCTCCTTTCGTTTCCTTTGCTTCCTTACGGCTGGCTTTCGCACCTGATCACCGCAGGCCCGTTTTCCCCCTGCACCTTTGAGGCTTCTACGTCGGTCTCGGTCTCTTTGTCGCTCCACGCTGCTTACTCGCCCCCCCGCCATCCAGTCCCAGTTGGCTTACGGCACCCTCCACCACACCGTAGTCTCGTCCTCTCACCGTCCCCCCTGCCATTCACGCCTGGATGGCTTATGGCTGCTGGCGGCTTCGGGATCCAAGCGGTCCCTGAGGGTTCGGGCGCACTTTGCCTCGCGCGCGTTTGCTGCGTCCCCACCCTCTGCGTCATGTCGCTACGCGCGGAGCCGCGATGTTTTAAAGTGTGTGTGTGTGTGTGTGCGTGCGTGCGTGCGTGCGTGCGTGCGTGCGTGCGTGCGTGCGTGCGTGCGTGCTTGTGTGTGTGCGTGCGTGCTTGTGTGTGCGTGTGTGAGCTTGGTAATTATGTTATGGCACGGCGCATGCTTCGCCTTCGCTGGGCTCATCAGAATTTTGGCCGCCCGAGGAAGGTGTAGGTTGTGACTTCGCAGCAGCGCCGCACAATCATCTTCTCAAGTTCCGCTCCCGCCCGCGCGCGGCCCGCGTTTTTGCACCCCTCGCCAAGTCATCGGAAGCGGTACCGTGCGCGAGCTCCTTCCATTCGCGAGGTGGGAACGCGTTCCAGTCCTAATGTCAAGCTTTGCCACCGCTGATTCTTATGTGATGGGAGGGAGGGAAGGATTGTGCGGGGTCCGCTGCCTCGTCCGACCTGGCTAACTTGACTCTTACTCCTGCTCCCAGTCCTACCCACACCCCTACCACTGCACTCCAACCCACGTTGTGCCCCAGCTCTTGCCTGCACCAGTGATGATGTCCCTTCCCCTCCTGATCGAACTTCACGTCCAAACCCGAACCCTCGTACCGGTCTCATCACAGCTCCAGTTCCCACTCCCACTGAAGACCCGCGCCCATGCTGGGCCCAAGGCCCCGGGCATGGCCTGCCTCCAGGCTCCTGGGTCCCGGCACCTCCTGGCTCCAGCGGCACGGGCACGCACTCCCTCTCGCCCTCCCTGGCGCGCCCTCTCGAAGACGCAGCCCGCTCGGCATGGCCAGCGACTACCTGAGTGGGCTGGACCTTCCCGCATCCGACTACTCCTCTGACGAGGACGAAGGGGACATTTCGCTGGACGAGGGGGGCCCGTGTCTGACGTACGAGGCGCTGCGGCTGGAGGGCGCCGGCGAGGAGCGCTCCGTCGCCCGTTTCTCCTTCGCGGTCTCGGCCGTGCCTAGGCCAGGGGCGTTTCGGTCCGATCGATCCAATCCGATATCGACTCCAGCCGGCCCGATCCGATTCGATTTCGAAATTCCGACACGTCCGATGCGGCCCGAGGCTCCCACAATCGCGCTGCTGAGCGTCCTGGCGCGGCCGATCCGATTCAATCTCGACGCCGTGCCGACGCGGCCCGATCTGACGTACTCTTACACTCCTGTCCGATCCGATGGCAGTTCCCAGACATCCGACGATGAGATATGTTCAATGCGCGGCCCCAAAGGTACCGATCCCTTCCCTGGGGACAGTTTTCCGTCCCAGGCTCATTTTTTACGTTCTCAGGGTCCGTGAACGCGCCGTCGGGGCCGAAATCAGGATCACCGCGAGAATCGAGTATATCATATCGGCGGAGTCGGAGATCCGGGTTCGATTCTGGTCGCTCCTGCCAGGCAGGAGCTGGTGCAGCTGGTGTACCTGCCCTTCACCTTGCCAGAGGAGCCTGGGCGCCTCACGGCGCTGACAGCCGGGCTGCTCAACTTGGGGATGTCGGGGCTTTGGAAGTCGGCATTGGCACCAAGACTCACAGGAGGAAAAGGCACCGATACCGCTACCCTTCCCTCGGTGGTGCCTTTTTGGGCCTCCTGGGAGGCCCTCGTCGCCACCGCTGGATTCGCGTCGAAATTCAGATCAGAACGCACCCCAGGAGATATCCAGGGAGTAGCCGTATGGGTACCTTTGGTTTCCCCGAAGACCCCGTGGCTAAAACAGTAACGTTCCAACGTGAAGGGATACACATGGCGCGGCCTGCCTGGGCGAGAGCTGGATGCACGCGTGGTCAGACTACTTCTTCCAGCGCTCGGCCCCTCGGTGGCAAGGCACGCTGGAACTCCAGAGTGTGTGTGTATCCAGCGCGTGGCCTTTGGATGCTCCACATGCGAATCAAACTACACATTCATTGTATACGTAGGTACAAACATACCTACATACATGCATGCATGCACGCATGCATACGCATAGACATACACACAGGCATACGCGCATATAAACATACACGCATACACACATACACACATACACACATACACACATACATACACATACATACACATACATACATACATACATACATACATACATACATACATACTTACGTACATACATACATACATACATGCATACACACATACATACATGTATACATACATACATGCATAAATGCATACATACATACATGCATGCATGCATGCATGCATGCATACATACATGCATACATGCATACGTGCATACATGCATACTTGCATACATGCATACATGCATACATGCATGCATGCATGCATGCATGCAGGCATACAGGCATACAGGCATACATGCATACATGCATACATGCATACATGCATACATGCATACATGCATACATGCATACATGCATACATGCATACATGCATACATACATACATACATACATACATACATACAGGCATACATACAGGCATACATACAGGCATACATACATACATACAGACAGACATACATACAGACATGCAGACAGGCAGACAGATGCTCGGCCTCCCACGTTGCCGGGGCGCCCCCGAGCCACGCCTCGGGCGCGCCCCAGCCGCGCCTGGGGAACGAGGGGCATGACGCGGAGAAGAGTTGGCGCGCCGCCGAGCGCCCAGGCAGATGAGGAGGAGGAGGAGGAGGAGGAGGAGGAGGAGGAGGAGGAGGAGGAGAGGGCGGAAGCGCCGCCCCGCGCCGGCCGCGGCCGCAGCGCGGCCCAAGCCGCCGCCGGCGGCGCAAGGCCTGGCGGGCCGCTCCAGCGTCGGGCCCTGGCCCGCAGCCCGCGTCAGCTTCTGCGGGCGTGGCTGCTCGTCGCCCTCAGGGGTGGCGGCGCAAGCCCGCGGCAGAGCGGCGCTGCAGCCCCCCGCGTCGCCGCGGCGCGCCGGCCTGCTGTTTCGCCGTCGCCAGCAGTCAGGGGGGCCAGCGCGGGCCCGCAGGGGCGCGCGGCCGGCGCCCCCAGCGCTGCGGCGCGCCGCCGGCGCCTCAGCGCAGGCCCGCGGCGGCGCGCAGCTGTCGCGCCAGCTCCCCCTGCAGGCCGCAGGCGAGCGCGCGGTGGGCGCGCGCGAGCTCGCGGGCCTGCTCGGCGTCGGGCAGGCGGCGCACCTCGGCTTTCAGCCAGAGGCGCGCTTCAGCGCCCAGCCGCCCCCCCGCCTCGAGGACGAACGGGGTGAGGCGCTCTCTGGGGCAGCGAGCGTGCTTGTCCCGCTCCCCGCGCGGGCTCGCCTTGCCGTCGCGGCGGGCCGCGACCCGCTGCTCCGCTGGTGTGCCCGCAGCGGGGTGTCGCACGGACACGTCCAGCCAGCGGCGGCCGTCCTCGTCCTGGCACTCCAGGTCGAGAACGGCGCGCTCCGTCTCCCGGGCGTGGCCTGGCCGCGGCCTGTCCCAGAGCGGGACGCTCTGCTCGTAGAGCGGTTCCTCGTGCCTCCAGCGCCGGAGCAGCCCGCCGAGCCGCCTGGCCAAACAGACAGACATACAGACAGACAGCCAGACAGACAGACGTGCATACATGCAGACAAACAAGCACGCTTACATGCATACATGCATGCATACATACATACACACACGTACATGCATACATGCATACACACTTAGTGACCGGAAGTGACCCCCCCCCGGATTTCCGGGAGTGGAGGGGGTGGGTTCCGAACCGGTAGTGGCCCCCCCGGTTTTCCAGAGGGGGGGCGGGATTTGGGGCAAGGGGAGCGGTTTACTGGGGAAGGGGGGGGAAGGGTTCGAGCAGGGGAGGGGGGGATTTTCAGAGGGGGTTGAATTTTTCAAAGCAAAGTTGCGGTGGATCACACTCTCTCATACATACGTACCTTCTTACATACACACATGCGTACGCGCATACATACATACACACATACAATCACATATGCATGCACACATGCATGCATACATACATGTATACATACATACACATTTGCCTGCATACATACATACATACATGCATGAATCTATATATGCATGCATGCACATACGTACACACATACATACAGACATACATGCATGCACACATGCATACTTTTCTTCATGCATACATACATGTATACATACATACACAAGTGCCTGCATACCTACCTGCATACATGCATGCATACACATACTTACACACATACATACATACAGGCATACATGAATGCATATACATATATATATATATATATATATATATATACATATGTATAAATATCTACATATATGCATACATACATACACGCACACATACATACAGGCAGGCATGCATACATGCATACATACATTGATACATGCATACATGCATGCATACATACATACGCACATGTATGCATACACACATGCATACACACATACATACACACATGCATGCAAACATGTATACAGTGATTCATACATGCATGCCTACGTACGTCCACACCTGCCTGCATGCATGCATGGATACATGAATGCATACATGCAAACATACAGACATACATGCATGCACTCATACAGACAGACAGACAGACATATAGACAGACAGACAGACAGACAGACAGACAGACAGACAGACAGACAGACAGACATGCATACAGGCATACATACATACATGCATGCATACATGCATGCATACATACACACCTACATACTTGCATGCATACACATGCATACACACATGCATACATTCATTCATTCATACATACATGCATACACACATACTCACTTGCCTGCATGCAAGCATGCATACCTGTATGCATGCATGCATACATGCAAGTACATACATACAGACAGACAGACAGACAGACATGTATACATACATGCATACATACATACATACATACATACATGCATGCATGCATACATACATTCATACACATATACTTGTATACACATATGTATGCATGCATGCATGCATGCGTACATACATACAGACATACGAAAGAGCGTGTTCTGCCGCTGCTGGCAGAAAACCAGGGGGGTCACGGGCTGGGGATTGGAACTCCAGTGTCCCCCTCCCCTCGAAAACCGGGGGGGGTCACTGGAGTTCCAATTTTCCCCCGGCCCACCATGACATGGGGGGGGTCGCTACCGGTTCCAATCCCCCCCCCTGGAAAACCAGGGGGGGATCACTACCGGTTCGAACCCCCCCCACCCTACTCGCCGCAACGACTCCCACTCCTCCCCAACTCGGGATGGAGGACTCGTGGGGACAGTGGTTGGGACGGTGGTGAGGATGGTGGTGGGGAGCGTGGCAATTAGACAGTGGTGGGGACACGGAAACAGTGGGGATGGGACCGTGGTGGGAACAGTGGTGGGGACAGTGGGGGCAGAGCGACAGTGGTGGGGGCGGTGGTGGTGGGGACAGTGATGGAGGTGGACAGTGGTGGACAGTGGTGGGGAGGGTGGGTGGGGACAGTGGGACATTGGTGGGGACAGTGGTGGGGACAGTGGTGAGGGCGGTGGGGAGGACGGTGGTGGGACAATCGGACAGTGGTACAGTGGGGAGAGTAGCGGGGACAGTGGGGACAGTGGGACAGTGATGTGAACAGTGGGGACAGTGGGACAGCACAGTGGGACAGCGGTGGGGACAGTGGGGACAGTGGGACAGTGGTGGGGACAACGGGGACAGTGAGACAGTGGTGGGGACAGTGGGGACCGTGGGGAGGGTGGGACTGTGGCGGGGACAGTGGGAGCAGTGCGACAGTGGCCGGGGCACTGATGGGGACAGTGGGGACAGTGGGACAGTGGTGGGGACAGTGGGGACAATGGGACGGTGGTGGGGATGGTTGTGGTGGGGACAGTGGTGAGGGGACAGTGGGACAGTGGTGGGTACAGTGGGGACAGTGGGACAATGGTGGGGACGGTAGTGGTGGGGACAGTGGTGAGGGTGGTGGTGAGGACGGTGGGGACAGAGGGGACAGTGGGGACAGTGGGGACAGTAGTGGGGACAGTGGTACAGTGGAGACAGTAGTGGGGACAGTGGGGACAGAGGGACAGTGATGGGAACAGTGGGGCAAGTGGCACAGCACAGTGGGACAGCCGTGGGGACAGTGGAGACAGTGCGACAGTTGTGGGGACAGTGGGACAGTGGTGCGGACAGTGGGGGCAGTGGGGAAAGTGAGCCCGTGGTTGGGACAGGGGTGGGGACAGTGGTGGGGACAGTGGGGACAGTGCGACGGTGGTGGGGACAGTGGGGACAGTGGGACAGTGGTGCGGACAGTGGGGACAGTGGGGAAATTGAGCCCGTGGTGGGGACAGTGGTGGGGACAGTGGGGACAGTGCGACGGTGGTGGGGGCACTGGTGCGGACAGTGGTGGGAACAGTGGGGACATTGGTACAGTGATGGGGACAGTGGGACAGTTGTGGGGACGGTGGTGGTGGGGACAGTGGGGAGGGCGGCGGTGGAAACCCAGGAGGCGTTCGCCGGCGGGGGTCGGAGTCGTTCGAGCTATTTCAAAGCAGCAGGCTGCCCCCTCACTATCGGTGGGGCTATTTGATACGCGTGCAGTGTCCAAATTCGGTTACCCGT